CATTGTGTAGCTTTGGGCTTAACTTCAAATAAACAAAATAATACTACACCATTACTCATTATTGTAGATATTTTGTTCGTAAACTCCAGGAGATTGACTTTTGGCAAGTTATTATTGAACTTTCAGGTACGTATTTTTATCATATCACTATGATACATTTCGAAACTCGCAAAATTAGATTTTTCCACAATTTACATATAGTGTTTTTAGTGAATTCAATATTGTAGTATCCGTATTATAAATATAATATATATTTTCATTATGTACCGACATTTCTAATTTTTTAAATCATTTTTACTCATGTTTTAAATACAACAGTTGTATTATTGCTCATGATAAACCACAATAGAATTACAGGTTTCATGGAGTGATTTGTTGTTTTAAGTGGAAAAGTCGTTTGATAAATTAACCGAAAAGGGTATAGAAGAGCATACTTAGAATTAATAATAACTCCGACTTTTTTCAGACTAAGTATCTCAAATAATCCTATTTAAATGCAAAATTATTTTTCAGGTAACTACTAAAAGCACATAATAATAAATTAGCGACATATTACATGTCGTCCCTGCTCCAACACAGTGAAGATTAATTGAAATAATAACCTATCTACTGTACGTAACACCTTTACAAGTATCATTAAATGTAGCAGTTAGTGGGGATCAGTTTTATTAACCCTCACTTTCATTGAGTAACGGAACAGATGAAAAACTCTATTGAGAATTACTAACTGTATAGAATTTGAAAAGCTCTACTAATTTTATAGCTTAAATTAGTTTAATAAAGAGTATTTGATTGTTTGATTTCTTAGTAGCTTCTAACTTTCGTTTTGGAATGAAAAATAATTATTAAACATTATAGGAATTAGTGTATTTATTCTATGGCTGAGAAAAATAGTATTTATTTGTTGAACTTTTTGCAAACAAGATGTATACCTATAACAGTATATTCGGTCTATATTTAATTCGTATATTAGGATAATTCTTGTAAATTTATGTTAAGATTACCAATTGAATTTTAAAATGCTCATGGAAAACTTTATTATGGCTGACTGCTATGTTTTCAGATGTTTTGTGGCGTACGTAAAATAACTTTACTAGCATTTAATTCAAAACGAGCTAGTTGACTTTCATACAACACGCATACATATGATATATCCATTTCAAATGTGCTTTAATGATTAGTATGTAAATAATACTTTAAATGCCAATTTGCTTTTCAATAGCGTTGTTCTTCCTTAATTTCACCGATAGGCTCCTAGAATTGCTATCTACCAATGCTGATCCACAAGAATTTTATATAATATAAATCTTAATGGACAAACAACATCAGTCAGAGAGAAAGCTATGGTAACTGAGCTGTTTACGCGTATATCTTAGTTTTATATTGTATGAAGTAGTTTTATAATCGAGAAATCTAGCTATGTTTTTAAAGCTATTTTTTCAACGTTTTTTGGACTAAAAAGGCGTGGTTCCGTTTGAACTTATCATATAATCTACAGAAAGCAACAGAAGCTGAGTTACAATTAGTCTTAATGTTAGATGTAAGTTACCTACTCATGCTGATTTGAATCAACGAGAATCAGCTGTGTAGTGTAAGAGTACATTAAAGAGGAGGATGTAATATGGTTTCATGAATTAAATATTATTTTATATTAGATTACACTCCATAAACTTCAGAGCATCCTTATTCTTGTAATTTGATTTGTTTCCGTGAAATTACAGTGTATTCACTAACTGTGCTAAAGTAGGAGATACAAAAAGAAGTGCTCATCACATATTACTCCTTTACTACATTTCTTTATTCAGCTATTACAGCCTTTCAGAAATACGGCATGCATCCTGAGAGAAGGCCGTAACTTAAACATATTCAACTTCTTGAAGGAAAATGTACATTACATTCTATTAACTCATGCGAACCTTTTTTTAAATAGAACTTTTAATGGACAGAGATAGTGTCATTTAGAATGTAAGGATCATTATATAAACTTACTGTGAAATAAATATGTTGTCTGAGAGAAGAACTCTGATCTCATTATTAGTATGTAGTAAAACAGATCAAGGTTTAGAGAACACTGTTTGAAAAAAAATGGGTCATTTTACTGGAAAAAAATATCAAAATATCATTAAATATTTATTCTTACAAAACGTTCTGTACAGCCAACGTATAAAAGACAAATAATTTATTTCGCCTCTTTTGCAAATGGAATAATTAAAAAAATGAAATTAAAGCAGTCCTTTATGTTTATCAATTTCTCTAAATGTCAGGTATTTGAAATTGTACTGAAAAGAAAACAAGTAAGAATGTCAATGAAGTCCCCCAGTAAACCAGTAGTTAGTTTATGGAATTACAACGCTAAATTTGGGGTTTATTCCCCACAATGGACAGTGTTTGATTTTGTTTGTTTTGAGATTCACACAAAGCTGTACGAGAACTATCTGCGCTAACAGTGTCTAGAGTGAAGGCAGCTAGTCATCACCACCAACCGCCATCTATTGAGCTACTCTTTTAACAATGAATAGTGGGGTTGACCATAACGTTATAAGCTCCCACGGCTGAAAGGATGAGCATGTTCGGTGAAGGGAATTCGAAACCCTGGACCCGAAGATTGCGAGTCCAGCGCCATAGCCACCTGGCCATAGATAAAATGTAGATACACCATTCTGTAGCCTTGCATTAAAAATTCAAAACATAAAACAAATCTGAGAGAAATGTTACGGCCCAATAAAAAAAATTATTTCATTTATAGCATCAAACAGCTTATTCATTATATCTTGCCTCCCAGTGACATAGCGGTATGTCTGCGGACTTACAACGCTAGAAACCGGGTTTCAATACCCGTGGTGGGCAGAGCATAGATATCCCATTGTGTAGCTTTGTGCTTAACTTCAAACAAACAAACAAACATTATATCTCAATTTATATACAGTGCCAAATTAAAAAAAAAAATAACATGAGCCGTAAAATATATTTATTTATATTTCTGCCAAATACAAAAAAAATAACTCTATTGGCTAATTAAATATTTCATCTGGTTTATACCTTACTATTCTATTATGAAAACCACACATTAGTACTAACTTTGAAGGTTGAAGCGAACTAAGAAATCTTTATTTTACATTTTGTTCTTAAAATGTAAATAATTACTTTCATCTAGCAACTTATTAATAATAGATCTCGTCAAGTAGATTATACTAAAAACGTGAATTGATTTTGTAACAAAAAACACATTTTGAGATTAAAAATCGCACCCACCAACTGAACATTCAGAAATTATTATTATTTTTTGGAAAGATCGACTGAGGAAATAAGTTTGCATGGAGACACATATCCATCTATTATTAAAACTGGTAATTGCTTAATAATATCAAGTGTAAATTCATTACTTTTACATGAGGCCAGAAATTCTGATTATTCTTTTTTAAGCCTTCTTACTTACACTCAAGACATGAAAATATAGACCAAAATAAGAAACCCGTTAATGAATTATTTTTGATATACACTGTGATAATGTATTCATAACTCTCAGGAGAGGTATTGCGTAAATACGTAAACCTGTCGTCTGAATTTCGTCTCTAGATAATATAGAGAATATATAAGGGTATATATATATATATATATATATATATATTATTTTGTAATTTTTACACGTTGATAAAATAATTTAGCAAATGTAGCCATAATTTCCTGAAATTATATTATATTCCGATCCATTCATATATAAAGATTAACTAAGAGAATATCCCTATCCCTAATGAATAAATCTCAACATAACATACACAAGAACATGACACATTTTGTAGTCGGATGCAAAGAATCAGCTGTGTATAAATATCTGGAGTTCGTTTAGTAAACCATTGAACTGTTAAGGAGATGAGAACGACCAAAAGAAACCTAGATCCTATTGTCCTATTCAAGTAGACAGGTCTTAAGCATTACCAACTCATCCAATCTGTAGAAGGTCGAATGCAACTGAAGACTGTTACTGACATATCTGTGAATGTGGTCATTCGACGAACAAACCGAGCAAGGGAGGATTGGCTGACTGTGTAGATTCAGGATATATACGACGACAACAACACCTAATATACGAAAAATACACATTTTACAAGATTTTATCTTCTATTGCTTATATGTATGAACATCGAAACATACGTGTATGTATTATTAAAGAAAAACAAAAAAAATGAAGAAAACCTTCCGAGAAAAGTATGACTTTTAATTGAACGAATCATCATAGATGAAGGAAACCTAATTTAGACTAAACTATCAAAATTAGCATTGACTAAGACTTATTACGTATTACAATTTATCCCGGACGAGCCCCAAATTTATTACGTAACGTATTATAATTTCGAATAGCCTAAAACTGAGTTAAATGATAATTTAGATTTAGAAATTATATAAACGTCGAATGTATCCACTTTATGATACTTGCCAACAAGATTGATACACACAGATTTTTAATACAAATATATTTTAATGTACAAACAAGAACACAATTTACAATAACGGTTATTACAAATAATGATCTATGAACAAAAGTTTTACAAACATACATCAATATTTAGTCCTCTTGTCTGGAACTTCCTCGAAAACTTATCGAGGGTCGCGATGACCGAATTAATTTTGAGTAGATGTAGATACAATTCACTTAAGAGGGAGCTAACTAGCTCTGCGTTCTTCGTTATTTACCAGCCACACACCGAGTTGTCCACCGATGAAGTTATATAATGTTTTCGTAAAGTACTAACGTCCGATATGAATCCGCTGAAATTAAGTGGTTTGTAAAATTCGAAATCTATAAACGTCCTTGGTCAAATATCTGAAGTTCCCAATTAATAAGCGTTATATCAATCACAGTTATAGCTTCCAGATTTTATAGCACACCAACTACAGCAAACCAGTAATATATACTGTTTTTTGGTGCGTCGCGTTAGTTATATTTATAAGCGTGTGGATAGTTCCTCGAAATGTCAGCTTACTCAAAAATATAAACGTACACCAGTGTTTACGTACACACATATATTGTTGATTCTTACACTTGAAAATTTTCTACAATTTTAGTGAATAGGACGGAATTTCGCAATATAGGTTTAACAGTATAAATTATGTACATTTCTACATATAAATTTAACTTAAACAAGCATCATATTAGAATAAGTATGTGATAGTAAATCCGTCACAGACTGTATATATGAAATGCATGAAATGCTGTTAGTATTTGGGTAGTAAGTTATTAGAAATTGTAAAATCCTAATATACACATAAATAAATTTCTACTGAGCTTAAACGTTTACGGACCTTTCTATGTATTCGTAAAACCCCTAAAAAACTGACGTGAAAAACCTTATTCTAGTTGCAATGACACTATACGAAGTAGACGGAGACGCCTAAATTAGGCCAAACATAGTGTTTACTTACACTTAATGGAACATTTATAAAGCTATAAGATTAAATTCTAAGCCGTAAGTTTTAATCCCGAAGACTTACCGCATACTACCAGCATCTTAAAAACCAATTAATTATATTAATACAGTATGTGCACAAAGGTTAGAACAATCGTATATAAATTGTTTCAATAATATGGTTTTAACATTTATAAACTTCATAAACAGTCTATCTATTTACTATGTACATGTATATATACATATATATCCTAATGATGCAGCAGAAGCTAGTCGGTTGCAAAATTAGCCAAGATAAGAACATAAAGGGTTATATATAAAGTATTAGAATATATTAATCGATTGCATATTCTATGTAACGTCATGTACTGAACTCATATCCTTGTGAACTCAAGAATAAGTTGATGAAAAGAATACTAACATTAGAAATGTCATTCCAAGAAGACCAAAAGTATACATTAATTATTAAAACTTGTGTGTAAGATTTAAATTCATAGGCCTGTTAAAACGATATGTTTAACACACACAACAACAACAACATCAAAAATGCAATATGCTAATCTTTGTTAAAAGTATCGGAACAGCTTTATATTTGAATATTTTTTTCATTAATAGTTGATGTTTCGTCCAGATGTTTCGTTCCTGAAATCTTTAACAATGACCTTTTTTCAACTCGTTTTGGTTATTTGTTTGTTTTGAATTTCGCGCAAAGCTACACGAGGACTATCTGCGCTAGCCGTCCCTAATTTAGCAGTATAAGACTAGAGGGAAAGCAGCTAGTCATCACCACCCACTGCCAACTCTTGGGCTACTCTTTTACCAACGAATAATGGTATTGATCGTCACATTATAACGCCCCCACGGCTGAAAGGGCGAACATGTTTGGTGGGACGGGGATTAGAACCCGCGACCCTCAGACTGCGACTCGAGCGCCCTAACCACCTGGCCATGCCGGGCCTCAACCAGTTTTATTAACTAATGATGGAAAAAATGTGATACAACATAAAGGCTCATAAAGGCTGATTTGAGTGATGCACATTGTAATCATTTTTACAAAAGCAACATCTTTTATCCTTAATATTTAAGAAATGTTCCTAAAACACCACATTTTACTTAAACCAATTGTATTAATAGGGAAACACCAATTAAATCATAGAATTTAATTTCACATTTCTCGTTTTTTCTCCCTTTTTCTTGGTCTTATTGTGGTCTAGTGGTTAAATTATCGAACTGGGGATCTCAGGGTCTCGGATTAAAGACTTGGTGCTGTCAAACACGTTTCGTACTTTTCACTATGAGTGTGGTATAAGAATGACAGTCATTCCCGTTATTCGATTAGAAGTTGTATTTTCAGATCGCAACTAGGAACAGATATACATGAGCCAGAGAGAAGTTTCAGATTGCTATTTACTTCATGCGTACACCAATGTAGATTATGTGAACAAATAAATAAACTTTTGTTTCTAATAAATAAACGTAGCATTAACTTTTTGCTAATGATTCAGATAAATATCTAACCATAAAAATACAGAACCAGACTTATAAATTTAAAGTAAGTAAAAGTTAAGGATGTTTAATAATAAAAGTGTCCTAGAAAAGTCTTATTGACAGAAAAAAAAATCAGATATTAGGTGCAGTGAATAGTAACATGACATATGAGAAAAGTTCATAAACATGGCTTGCACTGTATATAATTTTAAATATTTTCTTCTCTCACTAATAAAGCTGTCTACATATACAAACATCATATCATAGTACTATTATTCTTCTCAGGTGGATTTGCCAACGTTTTCAAGCAGGTTGCAAAATATCTTTTTCTTAAAATTTATCTTTACCAGTTCATTAAATATCATTAAATGTTTTTATTTTGCTAATCCTCTTTCTTCATGTATTTCTTCCAGAACAATAATAAATAAATTAAAATCTGGAAGTTTACATAAGTCGTACGTCACTAAAGATACAATAAACTGAATAAACATTGATACAGTTAGTACTAACTTCTGTTTTTGTTCTTTTCTATTAGTGTAAAGATATACAATGGATTATCTGCACTCTGTCCACCATGAAGAATCGAACACCGGATTTTAGCATTTTAAGTTCGTAAACTTAACTCTGACCCACTGAGAAACTGTTAACTTATTTGAGTCAGTTAGTTATGTGAGACATTAACAACAATAAATATTCTCCACTGTTGATCGCGCTGGGAATTTATATCGAATTTATATTCAGCAAAGTAAAATTAAAGTCGTCCTGTAACGTAAACAATTAAGAATGGGTTATAAATTTAGTAAGCGAATTATTAACCAAAGAACAGGATGGAGGTATCCATTAAGTTTAAACATTAACCAAAACGTATATCTGTATATAAGCGTCATTGGAAAGAGTTTTGTATAATCAACCTATAGTATCTTTCAAGCAAACGATTGTTTTTGAACTTCATATCAATATTTAATGCAAGCTTTCCAGGATTTACAACTAAATATTTCACTATTTGAAAAATGAATTCAATTCCCGAAGTTTCTTAAAAAAACAAAAATGCATTTATAAATATTATTTCTGTAACTGTATAAAATATTTAATCACTAATTCAGTGATATTTTTTATTATTTTAGCTTACAAGTAAAACTAGACACAGACGTTTTTACTTCGAGCTGGAAATCTATAGAAAATTTTAACGATTTGATATAGCACTCTTTCTTTTAATTTCTAAGATTTTGTTCCGCAATTCAGTCATTCATTAGAAAATATTATATTAAATTTTTCGGACATAAGTTAAAATTTACAGGTTTACTTCAACCATTAGTAAAACTATATAATTGATTAACGTATCAAAATTTTAGTGGAATTTTGTTTGCTTATATATTAATTATATTACATGATTTTGACCTATGATTCGTCACTTATATCTAATTATTATCAGGTACCAAAATGTTGTCAATCCTACATATAAATACAAGTTTCACTATGTGATGGTTGTATCTTTCTTTGATTCAACTCATTAGCTTTATAACAATCATTAAAGGAAATATTCCAATTTTATATGTTTTTCGGAAAAAAAAATATTTCACTTGTACTTTGTATTAAAATACTCAAACAAAAGATACAAAACAAGTTATTGCTGATTTTGATAATAAAATTATTTTTAAAGGTGAAGCTTGAAAATCATTGTTTTAGGTTTCTGAAACCATATGTTAATGTGTTTTCAAGTATATGTAGATGACAGAAATGATGACGAAATAAAGTGATATAATTTCATAAAAGTTACATTACGTATAATATAAGTAAGTTAATTTTTATCATAGTATCCTGATAAATCTTCTGAAAATACTATAATAGGTGTTATGTATAGTCTGATAAATGACAAGGTAGTATAATATTTACGCTTTTCATTTTAAAAAATTTTTACCAAAATATTCTTTTGACCATTACACGCGTCCTCATTGACAACTTTGTGAAAGTCTACCTAAAATGAAGTTTGTGTTATAGGTAACAGCTTGTAATATATATATTTTATGGCATATTGATGCAACGAAAAATTACTAATATATCATTAAAGGAGATATATGTATATTTTTTTCTACTACACAGTCTTTTTCTCAGAAAGTATCTGATTGACATCTTCTTGTCGAGCGTATAATCTTGCTATATAATTAACACCGAGGTTTAGTGCAAAAATAAAAAAATATTCTTCATTAACTTTATAATCAATATTCCGTCTTCTATATTGCCAAGTTTTTTAACATCAGACATTTTTTCTTTTGTATCTATGTTTCCATAACAAATAAAAAAAAGCATTATGAACATTTTAATCTTGCCTGAGAATGAAAAGTTACAAAAACATGTTGAAGTAGTAACCAATGTGCTCATTAAAAAATTAAATTAGACCTCGTAACTTTTGCTGTATTGAATATTTCTTTAAGTTTGTTTGAAATTGAGCCCAAAGCTACACAATGGGCTATCGGTGCCCTGCCCACCACGAGTATCAAAACTCGGTTTCTAGCGTTGTAAGTCCGCAAACATACCGCCGTACCACGAGGGGCGATATTTCTTTAGGAACAGAAGAGCCTGTAAGGTATATAATTTTACATAACCATAAAGATATATGATATTTAATTCATTACTAGATACAGCTTTTACAGTAAGGAATATTCGTTTTAATACAAGTACGATGTTTCGATCACTGATGCGATCATTCTCAAGTACACAAGTTGAGAATGATGGCCCTAGTGATCGAAACGTCGTACCTGTTCTATAAACAAATCTTCCTAACTGTAAAACTGTAACATGTAATAAAATAATACTTAATCAGCAAGTAAACTAAAACGAAACTAGTGATATATTATATTTAAATAAATATGTTGAATTTATAAAAGTTGTCGATTTGGGTATTTCTTAAGTATACATGGTTATCAGAGTTCAAATAATTGACATCCTTTCTATTTAAAGATTAATGTGCTGTCTTTACTTTTTTTATTAATTTAACGTATAATCTTATATGTTGTGTATAAACTAAATGATATTATTTATCATATAAATCTTTGTGAACATCTGGACATATGCAATAACATTTTTCTTCAAATCCATTCATTTTACAAGTGTTTCTGTTTAGTTATTTGTTTCACAAATTGAAATTGTAGAAGATTCCTTAAATTGAACTTTAAATAAAAATGGATGAGAAATGAATAACAATGTTTTTTTACTATTAACATATTTTATACTAATATTTGGACATTATTTGGAACCTTATAACTTAAATATAAGAAATAAAATTATGTCCTTAATTTCTTGTTGTCCTGTCGTTTATAAATTTTATATATCCGAAAACTTACCGCTGTCCCACCGGAGGACACTTAGAACGCACGAAAGTGAATGAAAAGTAAATTATATCTTTAATCCTATCAGAAAACTATACACTGTAAAAACTTTCCGTAAAAAATACTTGCAATTCATCGTTATTTTTTAAGGTTAAAAACTGTACACTATAAACAAATTCCGTAAAAGATACTTGCAATCACCGTTATTTTTCAAGGTTAAAAAACGTATCTTAAAGTATAGTTAAAAACATTAAAATAACGTGATCTTTACACTCCAGATGTATATATATTTGTGTTTTTATTACCAACATTTTGCTTTTACGGTTTTTTCAGAGTTAATGCATACAAACTGTTTCACAATATTTAAGTTCCTCCAGTATGCACTATTATACTTTGAATAAAAACAAACAATTAAAATTACGTGAAAAACATAATGATAATATACATATATAATTTAATTTTAATGAAATTATCCGTAAATTTTTTAATGTATAGAACCATTTTTTTCAACATGCCACATCCACTGAATTCAATATTAAACCGTTTAAAAATAATTGACAGCAAAAATACAACATTTCTTTAAATTAACGGTGAAGTGCGATACTTAAACCTTTATTTATCTACACAATTGCATTTTTTTCCTACTAAGAGTTAGCGCTCTGACCTTGACGAAGTAGCTGACCTGATCGAAATTTATCAATATAAAATGTACTAAACAACCTTTAAAAATGAATACTTAAGATTTTTGTAATTAAGAACTTCAATATTATGTATTAATATAAAATATTATAAGCCTGAAACATTTTTTTTTCTAGTAAAGACTATTATTATTATTAATGATATGATATGGTTGATAGTGAAGAATAATTAATATCCATCTTAAAGTGAATATAACAAATTCTGGTCTTATATTTATACACTGTGTTAAACTTGTAATAACTATTCTATTTTAAAATAAAAACTCTTTATGTTTGTTTTTAATTTCGTGAAAACTACACGAGGGCAAAATGCGCTACCCGTTCCTAATTTAGAAGTGATAGACTAGAGGCAGCTAGTCAACACCACCCACCGCCCATACTTGGGCTACTCTTTTTATCAATGAATAGTGGGATTGACCAACACATAATAACACCCCCTCGGCTAAAAGAGCGAACATGTTCGGTAACGTGCATTCGAACCCGCGACTTCTAGATTATCAGTCGAGCGCCCTAACCACCAGACCATGCCAGGTCCAATTCTTTATGTGTTTTTTTTTATTGCTCAAGAAGAAGCAAGAAAATTTTCTGTTGTTATAGCCATACGCCACGGCTATAGAAAAAAGAACCACAGGATTTCTGTGGTATCGTCAGAGCGCAGTTATTCAAAAGGTACATACTTAAATATGTAAGCTAAGATATGATTAAACAAATTCTTTCGGTTTCTTATCCACTACAGTTACAATCTGCCTACGCCCAACAAATGATGCAGGAAACATGCATTTTTTATTGGGGAGACGTTGGAGCAGACACGTTGCTGCACACAAAAAAGTGAAAGACAGAAATAACCTAAGTAATTGAGGTTTAGCAACACTGCTCAGGACACATTTTTGTATTCAGGTGTTAGTTTAGTTTTAGGTAATTGAATTAAGTTATTATTCTTATTAATATTATTATTAACATCGTCATTATTAGCGAGGCCTATGTATCACAAGTCAAGCCTTAGGTCAAGGCTGGTGTGCTTGCCATTTTGAAATTTAAAACTGATGTTTTTTCACATTATTTGATGAAACACTTTATGATTTTTGAAACACAAGTACTTTTAACACTTTAATTGTTTTGATGCTATAATTTGACTGTATTTGCCTGCCTCGTTATTCTTCCTTGTGTCAGAGGGATGTGTTAACAGCATCGTAAGTATCTGACGTTTTTTGTTATTTATTTGTATTTTATTCAATGGGAGTTTACTGTATTTGACTCAAGAAAATAGTCTTGTGATATTTCGAGTAAGTATGTAAACTTTGAAATAAGATATTT